GTATACAACATATTATAAACTATAGACACCATTACGATGTACGATAGATCTCTTGAACTTATTCCTAACTGAAATTTTGTGTTCTTTGACCAACATCTCCCTAATCCTCCCATCTCCTGGTCTCTGGTAATCACCATTTTATTCTCCGTTTCTATGAGCTTGACTTTGACACTCTGAATATAAGTGAGATGGTGCTTTGTCTTTTTGTGCCTTATTTCACTTAATATAATGTCCTCTAGGTATGTCCATGTCATGATAAATGACGGGATTTCCTTCCTTTAAGGCTGAATAGTAGTATTTCATTGTGTACATATACATTTTCTCTGTCCATCCATTGATGGACAGGTAGGTTGATTGCATACTTTGGCTATTATGAATAATGCTGCAATGCACAAGGGAGAGCAGGTATCTCTTCAAGGTATGGATTCTACATCCTTTGAATATGTACCCAGTGCTAGGATGGCTGGATCATATGCACATGGTAGCTCTACTTCTAATTTTTGGGGGAATATCCATACTTTCTTCCATAATGACAATGATTTATATCTGGACTAGCATGTTGTATACATGAAATGTATACACAGGTTAAAATTCATTGAACTGAGGCCAGGCACAGTGGCTCACACCTGTAATCCCAGCACTTTGGGAGGCCAAGGCGGGTAAATCACGATGTTAAGAGATCGAAACCATCCTGGCCAACATAGTGAAACCCTGTCTCTACTAAAATACAAAAATTAGCTGGGCCTGGGGCACGCACCTGTAGTCTCAGCAACTTGGGAGGCTGAGGCAGGGAAGTACTTGAAGCTGGGAGGTGGAGGTTGCAGTGAGCCAAGATCCCGCCACTGCACTCCAGCCTGGCACCTGGTGAAAGAGTTAAACTGTCTCAAAAAAAAAAAACCAAAAACAAAACCTCATTGAACTGAAACATTAAAGATCTGTGCTTTCTACTGTATGTAATTATCTCTCTTTTTCCCTCCCTTTTTAGAGACTGGGTCTTACTATGTTGCCCAGGCTAGCCTCCAATTCCTGGGCTCAAATGATTCTCCTGCCTCAGTGTCCCAAAGTGCTGGGATTACAGGTGTGAGCCACTGCACCCAGCCTGTATCTCAATATTTTAAAAAAGATTTACAATACCAAGTTTCAAAGAGGATGTAGAGCAAACTAGAACCCTCATATATGGCTGGAGGGAGTATAAATGGCACATTTATACCATGTTGGAAAGCTGTTTGGAAGGTTATCTGCCTAAACCGAACACATGCACACAATAACTTAGTAACTCCACTCCTAGATGCATACCCAGAAGAAATACGTTCCTTTAACAACACATTTTTTTTTCTTTTTTTGAGACGGAGTTTCGCTATTGTTTCCCAGGCTGGAGTGCAATGGCACGATCTCGGCTCACCACAACCTCCACCTCCTGGGTTCAAGCAATTCTCCTGCCTCAGCCTCCTGAGTAGCTGGGACTACAGGCGTGCACCACCATGCCCAGCTAATTTTTGTATTTTTAGTGGAGACGGGGTTTCACCTTGTTGACCAGGATGGTCTCCATCTCTTGACCTCGTGATCCACCTGCCTCAGCCTCCCAAAGTGCTGGGATTATAGGCGTGAGCCACCACGCCCGGCCACATTTTTTTTTTTTTTAAGTGAAAGAGAGTCTCACTCTGTTGCCCAGGCTGGAGTGCAGTGGTTCAAAAAAAAAAAACCACTGATTGCTTTGTCAGTGTATGGGGAGAAACTCCCACACATTTGGTCACAGAAATTTTGTGTTGATTGTTGTGGTGTGAGAGAATAAAAAAAGTGCTCTGAGTTTGTTTTTCTACTTTTTTTTTTTTTTTGAGATGGAGTCTCTCTCTGTTGCCCAGGCTGGAGTGCAGTGGTGCCATCTCAACTCACTGCAACCTCCACCTCCCAGGTTCAAGCCATTCTGGTGCCTCAGCCTCCCAAGTGGGTGAGACTACAGGCACACACCACCATGCCTGGCTAATTTTTGTATTTTTTAGGAGAGACGGGGTTCCACTATGTTGGCCAGCCTGGTCTCAAACTCCTGACCTCAAGTGATCTGCCTGCCTCAGCCTCGCAAAGTATTGGGATTACAGGTGTGAGCCACTGCACCCAGCCAGTTTTTCCACATTTATGTATCAATAAACAATTAGAAAATAAAAATTTTAAACTATACTATTTATAATACCATAAAAATATACAAAGGAAAAAATGAAAGACTTTGAATAGAAACATATATATAATACAAAATTGAGAAAGAAGGAAAGAAAACTAAATACATGAGCAGATATACCATGTTAATGGATTGGAAAACTCAATATAGTAAAATGTCAATTCCACAGAAATGTTCTACAGACTCAGTGCAGTCCAAGTTAGTTTTATTGACAAGCTGATTCTAATATGGAAATACCAGAGACAAAAATAGTCAAGACAATATTGGAGAATATCAAGCTTTATTATAAAGCTACAGTAATTATGAGGCTGCTGTTAGCTCACAGACAGAAAAACAGACAAGTGCAACAGAATAGCACCTACAGACATATCCATGCTCATGTGAACACTCAATCTATAACAAAATTGAAACTTCAAAGAGATAGAAAAAAAGGATTTCTCAATAAATAGTGCTTGGTCAACTGGATATCCATATTAAAAAACGAAACTTGATTCTTACATCTTTTACTAGGAACATACTTAAAATAAATGCATATAGTTGTGAGTGGTGGCATGTGTCTATAGTACAATTCAGTGATTTATCAAGAAGCAACTGCTTCTTGTGAACAGTTGCTTCTTGATAAATCACTGAATTGTATGTTTATTTTGTGCACTTTTCTGTGAATTATATTTCACAATTAATGGCATATAAAACAATCTCAGTGGATGGGTTTAACAGCAGATTAACAGCCAGGCACAGTGGCTCATACCTGTAATCTCAGCACTTTGGGAGGTGGAGGCAGGTGGATCACTTGGGGTCAGGAGTTTGAGACCAACCTGGCCAACAAGGTGAAACCTCGTCTCTACTAAAAATACAAAAATTAGCTGGGCACAGTGGCTCACACCTGTAATCCCAGCACTTTGGGAGGCTGAGGCAGGTGGATCATGAGGTCGGGAGTTTGAGACCAGCCTTGCCAACATGGTGAAACCTCATCTCTACTAAAAATACAAAAATTAGCTAGCCATGGTGGCATGCACCTATAATCCCAGTTACTCGGGAGGCTGAGGCAGGAGAATCACTTGAGCCTGGGAGGCAGAGGTTACAGTGAGCCAAGATCATGCCACTGCACTCCAGCCTGGGCGACAGAGTGAGACCCCATCTCAGGAAAAAAAAAAAAAATTAGCCAGGCACAGTTACACATGCTTGTAATCCCAGCTACTCAGGAGAATAGCTTAAACCCAGGAGGCAGAGGTTGCAGTGAGTCAAGATCATGCCACTGCACTCTAGCCTGGGTGGCAGAGCAAGACTCTGTCTCAAGAAAAAAAAAGGAATACCAGATATAATTCTAGCACTGTGGGAGGCCAAGGCTGGAGGTTCACTTGAGGCCAGGAGTTCAAGACCAGCCTGGGCAACATAGCAAGAACCCATCTGTACCAAGAATAACACATAAAAAATAGCAGGGCATGGTGGCACACACCTGTAGACCTAGCCACCTAGCATGCTGAGGCAGGAGGTTTGTTTGAGCCATGATTCTGCCACTGCATTCCAGCCTGGGCAGAGTTAAATTTAAACTCAAAAGAGAAAAGAAAAATTAATGGCAGAGAATTTTCCTAGACTGATGAGACACAAAACCACAGATTCAAGAAACTTAAATCCTGGCCAGAGCAGTAGCTCAACGCCTGTAATCCCAGCTCTTAGGGAGGCAGAGGTGGGAGGACAGCTTGAGCCCAGGAGTTAGAGACCTGCCTGGGCAATATAGCAAGACCCCATTCTCCACAAAAAGGAAAAAAAAGCTCCCCCCCAAAAAGTGTAAGAAACTTAACAAATCCTTAGCAGCATAAAAAAAAAAATACATATCTACATACAGCAGTGAACTGAATAACAGCAAAGACAAGAAAAATAATCTTTTTTGTATGTGTGATGAAGTTCCGCTCTTGTTGCCTAGGCTGGAGTGCAATGGTGCAATTTCAGCTAATCACAACCTCCACCTCCCAGATTCAAGTGATTCTCCTGCCTCGGCCTCCCAAGCAGCTGGAATTACCGGCATGCACCACCATACCTGGCTAAATTTTTGTATTTAGTAGAGACGGGGTTTCACCATGTTGGTCAAGCTGGTCTCAAACTCCTGACCTCATGTGATCTGCCTGCCTTGGCCTCTCAAAGTGCTGGAACTATGGGCATGAGCTACCGTGCTAGGCCAAAAAAAAAAAAAACTTAAAAAGCAATCAGGCCGGGCTCGGTGGCTCACACCTATAATCCCAGCACTTTGGGAGGCTGAGGCGGGTGGATCACAAGGTCAAGAGATCGAGACCATCCTGGTCAACATGGTGAAACCCCATCTCTACTAAAAATACAAAAATTAGCTGGGCATGGTGGTTTGCACCTGTAGTCCCAGCTACTCGAGAGGCTGAAGCAGGAGAATTGCTTGAACCCAGGAGGTGGAGGTTGCGGTGAGTCGAGATTGTGCCATTGCACTCCAGCCTGGGTAACAAGAGCGAAACTCCATCTCAAAAAAAAAAAAGCAATCAGGCTGGGCAAGGTGGCTCATGCCTGTACTCCCAGCACTTTGGGAGGCCAAGGCGGGCAGATCACAAGGTCAGGAGTTTGAGACCAGTCTGACCAAAATAGTGAAACCCTGTCTCTACTAAACATACAAAAAAATTAGCGGGGTATGGTGGCACGTGCCTGTAATTCCAGCTATCCGAGAGGCTAAGACAGGAGAATTACCTGAACCCGGGAGGCAGAGGTTGCAGTGAGCTGAGATCACGCCACTACACTCCAGCCCAGGCAACAGTGCAAGACTTCGTCCAAAAAAAAGCAATCAGAGGATTAAAAAAAAGAGAGAGAGATCCTTTTGTAGTTCGTGAGCATGATGATTGGGCGTTCACATGCTTGTATGAGATGTGCCACCTTGAATCTTGTTATGATTCGGCATATTACCCATCTGACCAGAAAAAAAAATTTTTTTTAAAGAGATTTCAGCCAGGTGCACCTGTAATCTCAGCACTTTGGGAGGCTGAGGTAGGAGGATCACTTGAGCCCAGGAGTTCAAGACCAGCCTGAGCAACATAGGAAGACCCCCATGTCTACAAAAAAATAAACAAAAATTAGTCAGGCATGGTGGCAGGCACCTGTAATCCCAACTACTTGGAAGGCTGAGGTAGGAGGATATGCTTCAGCCCAGGAGGTCAAGGCTGCAGTGAGCAGTGACTGCAGCACTGCCCTCCAGGCTGGCAACAGAGTAAGACCCTGTCTCCAAAAAAAAAAAAAAAAAGAAGAGAGATTTCTTTTCAATGAGGGACACTAGCTGTTGAGCTTATGTCTCAACAGAAATCATGGAAACTGCGAGACAATAGAATGGAAGCTTCTAAATGGTAAGAAAAAATAACCATCAACCTACGCTCTATACTCACATAAAATACTGTTTTGCAGAGTAATGCAATTTATCATAGTAACAGAATAAAAATTTTTAAATCATGCAATCATCTCAGCTAGGCACAGTGGCTCACGCCTGTAATCCTAGCACTTTGGGAGGCCAAGACAGGTGGAGTGCCTGAGCTCAGTAGTTCGAGACCAGCCTGGGCAACACTGTGTAACCCAGTCTCTACTAAAATACAAAAAATTAGTCGGGCATGGGGGCGTATGCCTTTAGTCCCAGCTAGTCAGGAACCTGAGGCAAGAGAATTGCTTGAACCTCAGAGGTGGAGGTTGCACGCCACTGCACTCCAGCCTGGAAGACAGAGGGAGACTCCAGAAAAAATTAAAATAGGCTGGGAATGGTGGCTCATGCCTATAATCCCAGCACTTTGGGAGCCTGAGGTAGAAGGATCACCTGAGGTCAGGAGTTTGAGACCAACCTGACCAATATGGAGAAATCCTGTTTCTACTAAAAATACAAAATTAGCCAGGCGTGGTGGCACATGCCTGTAATCCCAGCTACTCAGGAGGCTGAGATAGGACAATCACTTGAACCTGGGAGACAGAGGTTGTAGGGAGTTGAAATCACGCCACTGCACTCCAGCCTCTGAGACAGAGCGAGACTCCATCTCAAAAACATAAAAAACAAAATAAGACAAAATAAAAAATTTAAAATAAAAAACAGAATAGAAAACAAGAAGTAATAGTCGAAGAAAAATATGGAATAGAACCAAAACAGTACAGGAAATAAAAAAAGGAAAGTGTGGGAGAGACAAGTAGCACAAAAGATGCAAACATAACCCCAGAATATCAATAACTACATTACATTAATTTATTTATTTTTGAGATGAGGTCTCGCTCTGTTGCCCAGGCTGGAATACAGTGGCACCAATCACAGCTCACTGCAGCCTCAACCTGCTGGGTTCAAGTGATCCTCCTACTTCAGCTTCCCAAAGAGGTGGAATTACAGGCATGAGCCATGGCACCCACCTCGCCCTTACATTAAATTTAAATGGAATAGGTCCAGGTGTGGTGGTGTGCACCTGTGTTCCTCACTACTCGGGAAGCTGAGGCAGAGAAATAGCTTGAACCAAGGAGGTGGAGATTGCAGTGAGCCGAGATCGAGCTATTGCACTCCAGCCTGGGTCTCAAAATAAATAAATAGACCACAATAGGTTTTTTTAAGAAAGCATTTGTAAAATATAAAAATGCCAAAAGGTGAAGTGAAAGGGTAAAAGATGACCTGTCAGGAACCTCAGGCATGACTGGCAGGTGTGCAGCTGTGCTCCACCGCCAAGAGCACCTGGAAGTCCTTAGTGGCTGTGTGCCTCTCCATGACATGGCAACTCCACGACCAGATGTGTTTCCAAGAAAATTCTTACACAGCTCCATAAAAGGAGGTATACCAGGAGGCCCACTGAAGCAATCTATCATGGCAACCACTGTGGACTCACACTCTGCAGAGGGACACAGCAGTGGTGGGCAAGGGCCAGATGTGCCACAGCAACGTGGATAGGTCTTACACTACGCTGACTTTGCAAGAACACAAATGATAAAAAGGTTGCTCCTTATACATAGCAGACTGGTTGCCTGTGGGGTGGGAAGGGAATGAGATGGTCATAAGCCATCTCATTAAATACATAGGCCAGGCACGGTGGTGCACACCTATAGTCCCAGCTACTCAGGAGGCTAAGGGAGGAAGACGGCTCAAGCCCAGGAGTCTGACACCAGCCTAAGCAACACGGTGAGATTCCATCTCACAAAAATAAATATGTGGCCGGGCATGGTGGCTCATGCCTGTAGTCCCAGCACTTTGGGAGGCCGAGGCAGGTGGATCACGATGTCAGGAGTTTGAGACCAGCCTGGCCAACATAGTGAAACCCCATCTCTACTACAAATACAAGAAATTAGCTAGATGTGGTGGTGGGCACCTGTAATCACAGCTACTTGGAAGGCTGAGGCAGAATCACTTGAACCCAGAAGGTGGAGGTTGTAGGTACTCACCCTGAAGACATCTTGACAGGTACACACCCAGGTGTGAACCACAGGACCAGCTGAGGCCAAAGATCCCTAAGAAACCTGCTTAGACCAAGGCTCAGCAAGCCAGGGTAGCGGGGAGATGAACAGCAGACTGAGCAGCCCTTAACAGGGGCTCCCTAAACCCTCTGGTCCAATGCTCTGGCCACTGCCTGGAGTGGGCTGAGAGGCCAGAGGGGCAGAGCCGTTTCTCTTCCACATACTCTCCTGCAGGGCACAGGCTCCAGCCACCCACCCTTCGACCCACTGGGGCACCCACCTGGCCTCAGGCACAGCACACCTTTCCTCGGTCCACACAAATTTCTTCAGCACATCAGAGCAGCAGTATCGGTCATGACAGGTACCACAGCAGAAATCTGGACAGGACTCAGGGAAGAGACTGAGTCCACGGGAAGCTGTACACACCTCACCATACGCTGCAGAGGAGAAACACACCTGTTCACCTGTGCCCACAGGGCCAGGCCCCAGCCCACACAGCCCCTCACCGGCACAGCCACCAGACCACACACTCGCATGCTGTGCCGTCCCTGAGCTACCTTAGCCACAGGCCACCTTCCGACCCTGGCCGCTGCTTCCCCTCAGCCCTACCCTCTCCCATGGGCCACACAGTTAGAGATGCCCTAACTGGGCTCCCTCTCTCCGTCGCCAGTGCACCAGCCTCCTATAGGAGGGTGAACTTTCTCGTGAGTCTGATGGGGCCACACGCGGCTCTCAGACCTCCCTAATTCTCTGCTTCTGGATAAAGGCCCGAGTTTGCAAGCAGGGTCTAGACTGTAAAGGGCCCTGAAGATCACTCCAGCTCTCCAACCTGTCCACACTCTGCTTACATTCTTGCCTGTTTCCCATCTCCTGCCTTTTTTTTTTGAGACAGTCTCATTCTGTCGCACAAGCTGGAGTGCAGTGACAGGATCTCGGCTCACTGCAACCTCTGCCACCCAGGTTCAAGCAATTCTCCTGCCTCAGCCTCCAAGTAGCTGAGATTACAATGCCTGCCACCATGCCTGGCTAATTTTTGTAGTTTTAGTAGAGATGGGGCTTCACCATCTTGGCCAGGCTGGTCTTGAACGCCTCATGATCCACCTGCCTCAGCCTCCCAAAGTGCTGGGATTATAGGCGTGAGCCACCACACCCATCCTGCCTTTCAACTCTACTCATCCTTCAAGGCCCTATTCCAGGCTGCCTCCTCCAGAAACTGCCCAGATGAGAAGTCACATAGCTGAACACCTGCAGGGGTTGGACACTGAACTGTCCATTTCTTTTTTTTTTTTCCTTTTTTTAGACGGGTCTCACTCTGTTGCCCAGGCTGGTTTACAGTGGCATGATCTCAGCTCACTGCAACCTCTCTGCCTTCTGGATTCAACAGATTCTCCTGCATCAGCTTCCCGAGTAGCTGGGATTACAGGATGCTCTCCTGGACACCCAGCTAAGCTTTTGCATTTTTTAGTAGAGATGGGGTTTCGCCAGGTTGGTCAGGCTGGTCTCAAACTCCTGACTTCAGGTGATCTGCCCGCCTCGGCCTCCCAAAGTGCTGGGATTACAGGCATGAGCCACCACACCCAACCAGACTGTGCGGTTCTTTTTTTTTTTTTTGAGATGGAGTTTCGCTGTTGTTACCCAGACTGGAGTGCAATGGCACGATCTCGGCTCACTGCAACCTCCGCCTTCTGGGTTCAAGCAATTCTCCTGCCTCAGCCTCCCGAGTAGCTGGAACTACAGGTGTGCACCACCATGCCCAGCTAATTTTTGTATTTTTAGTAGAGACGGGGTTTCACCTTGTTGACCAGGATGGTCTCGATCTCTTGATCTCATGATCCACCCACCTCGGCCTCCCAAAGTGCTGGGATTATAGGCGTGAGCCACCGCGCCCGGCCCAACTGTGCTGTTCTTAATCCTCATTCCTTCTCATCACTCAGCCACAGCAGCCTGAGCCACTGCTGGGCACCACAACTGCAGAGGCCTGGCTCTCACAGACCACCCCGCGACCATGATAACAGGCTAGCTCCTGGTCAGAAATTGTCACAACCACCATACAAGTGTTCATAAAGCACTTGGCCCTGCGCTGGGCCTACAGCAGGTGTCCAGGAAATGTTTGTGCCTTCCAGGAGTTTTGAGACCAGCCTAAGCAACAGGGCTCCCGGGCAGTGGCACCACCTGGAGCTCTGGAGCCATCACAAAGCTCTCAGCACAGAGTTGGGATCCAATGACATCCTTACAGGTCTCAATGTACGAGATTGTGCTGAGGGGACATAGCTGACAACAAATGTGGAATACAACCCAGGGTTTTGGATGACAAGGTTTACAAAACTCCAGGAAGATGCTACAGTCAAATGTTCCCATGTATCCTTAGGCTACATTAGCAGAGACCTAGTGCCCACTAGCAGGAAGGAACAGTATGGGATTTTTCAGGGAAGACTCCAAAGAGACATCTAGTCCAAAAAGGCCCACAAGCCCGAAGTAGGCAGGGCACAGGTCTGAGGATAGCACTGAGGCATAACG